ACCTCACTGGAGGAATTACATATGCCATCTGGCTTCAGAGGCTGTGGGATCCCCCATGAGAAACTGGAAAGCATTGCTGGTTAGAAGGACATCTGAAACACCCTGTTTTGCCGGCTGCCACCACAACCCTACACTGAAAAGGCGGAAGAACATGAATGGATGGATGGTTTGTGTCATTCTTCCAACATTCCCAGTCAGACGTCAGACTGCAGAGGGCATTCCAGTTGAAATGTCCGACCGTGAACTGAGAAACTCCCAGTTCAAATGGAACACACCTTCAATTCTGTGGTTTTCTGCTGCTGACTTGAGTTAAACAAACTCAAAAACTGGGTTGTCAGAAAAATACAATTTTATAATTTTTCACCATTTTTCCTGGATATTTCAGAACAAACATTGAGGAAGATATTTGGACGATAAATCAATGCTAAAATAATTTTAAGTTGCAGTCTTAGTTGTTTATATACATTATTTTCTGAGACACTGTTGGTGTAGTCTGACTCTCAAGATGTAGACTAAGGGCATAAGTCCACCATTTCCTGCAGATTTTCAGCTATTTGCCTGTTAGTATTTTCAAAATCCCCTTAACTATGAGGAACAACAACTCCTAAGCAGCAATGTAAAACTGGAAAGTGTAGGTTCTGTAGAAGATTTGGCTCATGCAATAAGGCAGGTCTGCTTGTGTTTTTTTGTTTTTCGGCAAATTAAGCATTTTAATGACAATGCCACCTCCGTGCATGCAAATATTCCACCAAAACAATTCCTCCATCACTGTTTTCCAGAAGCACCGTCGCTGCATGCTGGGTTCAGTACTCCTAAGGATGATTTTAATTGGTTTAAAGAAAAACAAACAAGCCAGAGTTGTTGTTGTTTTGTTTTTTCCCCACCACATGAATGAATGGCCTGCACTGTGAAACTACTGTTGGTGTAACTCTCTGTAACTGATGTACGTGTTAAACTGTTGTTTCAAAATGAATTCCCTGTAGGGTTTGTAAGTAAATCACATATCTTTAGAGGTTAAAACTCTGTTGTAGCTGCTGGAAATAATCCGAACGTGACGTCACGTCATGTCGCCCACGGATAAAATGCATCACAAGTGTCAAAACAGGCCGAAATACACATGAAATACTCGCTGAGGGTGGATTTTTCCTTCTCCGTCAATCACCCAGACTCAGCCTTTTGTGACATAAACGTCTGAGATTGACAACCGGCTCATTATCCATTGTACCAACGCGGTAACCTCCCTCCCATCTGTCACTCCGAGCTGCACCCAAAATAGTTAGCATGTACCGTTTGATCCATATGTGATTTGGAAAGCTCTGCACGCTTCGTCTCTGAATGGCTGCAATGTTTTGTTTGATGAGTCAGTGAGTTCTGTGGAGCCTCGGAGTCCATTTGGTCAAAACTAGCAGAGCGGAGAGAGAAAAAGGTGGATCCACAGCCCGAACATGAGCATTCGAAAGAAAACCACGATCCACGTTTAAGGTTCTGAGGTTGGGGAGGTGACAGGCTTTTTTAAATGGTCGACTAACAGTCAGGAAAACTGAGAATTTGACAAGAAGATTGATATTACTCACATATCAGTGTATTAAGTGTGGAGCTGCAGTCAGAGACAGGTGAGCTTAGCATCTACAGCTCACTAATGAACTCATCTAATCATGAATATACACAAAAAACGAAGTCTAAAACATAGAAGTAGTGGTTTTAGATGGAGCCACCGACCGGAACTATCTCTTGATGAACATTTTATCCACCCACAACTTTAAAACTACTCCAAACCTGCCCAAGAATCAAGAGCCTTCACACCTCAGTCTGCTTCAGCATCTTTGGGACAAACAACCTTAGTTCTCTGTAATGTTGCACTAAATCTCTGGTTTACTTATAAATCGGTCTTTTACACAAATCTGCAGTAGTGTAACTTTCATTTTCCTTCATAACCAGTGAGTTTTGTTTTGTTTATTAGCTGAGTAAACACCAGAGTCAAATCCCTTGGATGTGTTCACGTATTTGGCGAATAAAGCTGATTCTGATGTTATGACTGATTAGTGTATAATTACAAGACACTGACCCCTAACTCCCAGAAAACCTGTACCTTTAAATGTAGCTTAAAGCAGTAGTTGGTCAATTTGGAAAAGGGACATTTTTGCTTTAATGCCACCAGTTTGATGAGAAGATCAATGCCATTTTATGTCTAACCAGCAGCGTCGCACGAGGAGTAAACACAGGTAGAAACTCCAGCTGCAGCAATAAATCAATTACTTATCAGCTAATATTTAAACTGTCGACTACTTCTGTACTCGATTAATCAGTTTGAGTAATTATTTAAGAAAAAAATTTAAATTCTCTGACTCCAGCTTCTAAAATGTGATTATTTTCAATTTTTTTTTCCTTCTTTATGACAATAAATTGAACATATTTGGGTTGTGGACAAAACAAGACATTGAAGGACGTCATATTGAAATTTGGGAAACACCAATTAACTTTTTTTCACCGTTTTCTGACATTTTCTGGACAATTTTTTGACTATTTTTGTAATCAGTGAAACAGTTTCAGTAATTATATCAGGAAAACACTTTCAATGTTTCTTTCCTCCTCTATGACAATAAACTAAATATCTTTGTGCTGCAAATAAACAAGTCATTTAAAAACGTCGTGTTGGGCTTTGGGGAAACACTGACCGACATTGTTCACCATTTTCTGACATTAAACAGAACAAACAATTAATCTGCTATTTGAGAAAATAGTAGATTAATCGACAGTGACAACAAATATTAGTTGCAGCCCTGGTTACATGCTTTTTAATGTGTAGTTTAGAATTTTAAAAAGATCTTCTACATATAACTGATAAAATAATTACAAAAAATAAGCTGCATTACAGTGAAGCTAAATAAGAGTTGAGGTATCACCCCCCCCTTAAAGCAAAAAAAAAAGCTAAATAAATTTAGCATTTTTAATGATAACTAAAAAAACCTGAACGGTTTAAATGTGTTCACAAGCCAGCTGTGTGTGATTGAGACCTCTGGATGGTTTCTAAAGTCCAACAGGGCTCCAAACCACAGAACACGTTAATACAACCTCCAACTCTGTATGTTTTGGTTTTTGTGCAAAAAAACCAATGAAGAGACTCGGAGGGGAAAAAATAGAAATCTAAAAACGACAAGACTGCAGGAGCATCAGGCTGTTGTTTGTCAGGAGCCGGTTACAGAACATACAGTAACTCCCTGTAAATCCATGAAACAACACTGCCATGTGCTCTGACTGGGAAGCTACCGCTAGCAGCTGTTAGCTTAGCTTAGCATAAAGGCTAGAAACAGAGAGAAACAGCCAATCTGGCTCCATGTACAGGTAACGAAATATTCCCACAGATGGGATTTATGAAATTGTGATGAGCGTTTCTGGCAGCTTCTGCAGGTTTACAGACCAAATAATTATTGAATTCAATTAGAAAATAATCTGCAGATTAATCAATGGTTTATGGTGAACGGGTACATTTTTTTCCCCTGTAATTTTACAAGATATTATCTGTACGTCAACAGAACAAGAAAAATCTGCAATTTTTTTCAATTATTTTTGCTATTTCTCAATCATTAATATACATCATTTTCCTTTTAAAAATAAAAAATATGAATGTATAAGTATTGTAATATAATTGTTTTTGCAAATTTGATATCTTTTGGACAGTTTTCTTCTTTTGTTGTTGTTTTTTCCTGTAAATGTAAAAGATATTATCTGTACTTTAACAAAACAAGAAAAATCTGTAAAATAACATATATCTATATCTTTTAAACCATTTTAAATTCATTAACATACATGGTTTCACACTTTTAAATAACGGAAAATATCTGTAAAATAATGGCATTTTTTTGCTGTGTGTTACAGTAAAATGGTGCAATGTTAGTGCAAACGTAAAAGATCAAATTGCAGTTTGTAAAAATACAGATTTTTAGATGCTTACAGGTTTTTTTTAAAATTTATTATACAATTAATATGTAAGATATTATTTTTTTCTTCTGTGATTTTTTTGAGCTATTATCTGTAATTTAACAAAACTGTAAAATAAAAGATCAACTTAACGTACATACGGTTTTGTTTTTTTCAAATAATCTCAACTAGATGTAAATTAATAACTTTTTTTTGCTGAGATAAATGCGATAAAAATACTGTAGTTTTTTGGTCAAAGCTGTAAAAGTACAAACTGTCATTTAGGTTCCCCCCCCCTTTTTTTTTTAACAACTAACTTGTAAATTCTATCTGTAATTTAACCACATAGGGGGGGAAAATGTTAATTGACAATAAAAAAAACTTGCTAAAAAGGTCTTTTACAGTGCAGCCTTGAATTAATCTTCTCTTCTAACTCGTGGCAAGGAAGCTTTTGTGTAAATCCCCCAAATCTTGGACTTTTCCTTTAACTGTGCAACACCAGAAACTTCATAGTCGAACCCAAAGAGGCAACCGGGTTCTGAAACTAACCCGCCATCAGCTCCAGGGCTGGACAGATGAACAGAAACATCTTACGTCACCGTGACCCTGCAGTACATCTGAAGGTGGTGAAGCTCTTTGTGTTCTCAGCGAGTTTGTCAGAGTCGTTGATTTGGTCGTTTGCACAACAAACTCTGGTGAGTGTCCACTTGAGATTACCGTTTGCAAAATGCTGGTTTACCATGTTTGGGATATGTCATCGTGATTTTACTGAACTTCTCCACTTGTCACGTTACATAATTCCGTTGTGTTTGTGACTGATGCACCAGAGATTTTGGGCAGAGAGCACTGAACGCGACAATAACAGGGGCAGCTGCACATGTGAGTCATGTGAAGTAGTGCGTCAGCTGCACTGAAGTTTGGACGAGCACGATTTGTTAGATAAGTTTTTGAGGGTAACATAAGGCGACTTACATGAGGCCAGTTGCAAATACTATGATCCAGACGTGTGAGTTTAAGGAATAAACCCTGAGTGGAATCAGCACCTCTGAGATTATGAACTAAGAACTGGAATTGACTGCAGGTTTCAGTTGTTTTTCTTGATATTTTACTGTGTAGCTCCTCAGGTGACTTCCTGTGTGACGCCTCAGAGCAGACAGAAGAATAAAGTAAAAACATCTTATCTCTCTCAAACACACATATCCAAGTAAGATTACAGTTTACAGTACTGCATGTGCTTTTTTTCTCCCTTTTTTTGCGCATTATCGCCTACCGTTGGATTACTGGGATTTGTAGCACCACAAACATCTACTTGCAGTCGTGTCTTTGCCGAGACGACTGCCAAGTATCTGTTGTCCACTTGGCAGTTTAGACGTCTGAAGTGCGCTGAGCTGAAAAAAAAAAAAAAAAAAGGCTAGACGGAGCTGCGTCTCTTAAACAAGCTGAACGGGGAGAGGATGTGGAGGCCCGTCGTTATGGAGCTGATGCTCGTGCACTGCCGCGGACTGCAAACGCAGCCGCTCGACCCGGGCTCCATGTAGTGAGGACTGTTCTGCTGCAGGTAGGCATCGGAGAACGTCAGCTCCTGAGGGATCATGGTGGAGCCCTGCAGCTTCTCCTTGCTGCGGTACCACAAGCAAGAGCATATTGTCTGGAAGTGCAGCACCTCAGTGTAGACGCCTTTCAGATCTTTAGGTTTGGTCGAGTCGTCCACTATGGGCGTGGAGGAGGTTGAGACCGGTAAGAGGCGAGCCACCTCTCCTCTGGGCTTCCCGGCCGACAGCAGGGCCTTCTGCTTGGCGTCCCGGCGCTCGTCCTCGGCGTTCATGGTCAGGAAGCGAAGCACCACCAGGTTGAGGAAGGCCCCGATCACCGTCAGGCCCATGAGGATGTAGACGAAGCAGAAAGCCACGTAGCGAGGGTCGTTCTGCAGGGCGTCGTCCCTCTGCAGCGCCACGTAGTCGCCGAAGCCGATGGTGGTGAGCGTGATGAAGCAGTAGTAGAAGGCGTGCAGGAAGCTCCAGCCCTCGCAGTGGGAGAAGGCCACGGCCCCCACGCACAGGGTGCTGAGGCAGGAGAAGAAGCCCACCGTCACCATGTTGGCCATGGACACCTCGGTGTGACGCATCCCCAGGCACTTCTTGGCTTGGTGCAGCAGGTATCTGACGAAGGTGTTGATCCGCTCGCCCAGGCTCTGGAACATGACCAGGGTGAGCGGGATCCCCAGGAGGGCGTAGAACATGCAGAACACTTTCCCTGAGTCGGTGCTCGGCGCCGCATGGCCGTAACCTGACGGATAAGATAAGAT